CAACGACGACGACGACGACGACGACGACGACGACGACGACGACGACGACGACGACGACGACGACGACGACGACGACGACGACGACGACGACGACGACGACGACGACGACGACGACGACGACGACGACGACGACGACGACGGGAGGGAGGGAGGGAGGGAGGGAGGGAGGGAGAGAGGGAGAGAGGGAGAGAGAGAGAGAGAGAGAGAGAGAGAGAGAGAGAGAGAGAGAGAGAGAGAGAGAGAGAGAGAGAGAGAGAGAGAGAGAGAGAGAGAGAGAGAGAGAGAGAGAGACACACACACACACACACACACACACACACACACACACACACAGAGACACAGAGAGAGAAAGACACAGAGAGAGAGAGACAGAAACACAGAGCCCACACTCTTCCCTGTACACCAGTCCAGGCTGGGTGTCTGCCCAGTAATGGAACGAGTTGTTGAATGCAAGTTCCGACTCGTGATATTTCGAATCCGTTCTGGAGTCATCAGTGAGCTGTTGTCGTCCCACATCGCAAGGCCCACCTACACTACAGGCATGGCCACTCGCGATCGGTTGGGATGCAACCAGAAGCTAGCATACCTGGTGTGGCGCTGTCGTTATGCACTGGCAAGTCCAGAGTTGCAAGCCCTGCTAACCCCCGCTGCACCCGGCCCTACTCGGCTCCAATCTGCCATGGGCCTGTGCGTGCCAGTTTCCCGTTCGGTTGCGGGGCGGGGGCGCTTTGCTTGCAAGGGTGCTGTATTATGGAATGCCCTCCCCAGCGACATCCGTGCCATCCATCACGCTCGGCAGTTTCGCACGCAGGTAATCCCCTATACCTGCGCCCTGTAGATGTCGACAAGCGAAATCTGATTTTTTTCTGTTCTTTTTCTGTTGTACCCGATCTCCCTCTGATGTACCGCTGACTCTACGTTGAAGATCAAAGTATTTGAATTCTCATTCTCATTATGATTTTCATATTCGCTTTCATGTTATTGGGTCTATGCCCGTTTGAACTTGCGAATCAAAATAAATACAAACAAACAAACAAACAAACAAACCTCAGAGTCCCCTCCCCCGGCCCTGGTCCACAGAGTCAGTGCTTCCAGAATCCAGCTTCTGGCAGTAGAGGCGACGGTTTCAAATAGGACATAGGTTGCAAACCGGAACGGTCTCAATATTCACTTTCTCTCTTGGTATGTTGATTAGAAAACGTATGTCACAGTGAGACTACGATGTGTTTTACTCAGCGCCAAAATTCCATGGCTCTGCGATGACCAGAAGCGCCATACCAAGCAGGTGAGTTTTTGACGTGTTGCTTCGCACTGCGACTTGAGTTTTACGACTTTCGAAAAGCTTGTGGCTCAATGTAGCTGAACCATCGGACCTTATTTGTCAGCTTGGATCACGTGATCCATCCAGCTGCCGCGTGCGGCAAACAGCCCAAATAGCGCTAACTCTGGCCTGCGAGCGTTTGCTGCGACTAGCGCGCTAGCGCTCGTGACATACACAAACGCGCTAGCCAGAATGCTTTGACTTTGATGGCTTTCAGCTTCTATTTTTTGAAAAGTAGCGCGCTTAGACCAGCTCGCTCACTCTTTTCCTCTTCCATTTTTTAGGGCAATTGTTTTGTTTGATAGACGAAGCTTAGGGTCTCTTTGGGTTTGCAACCCTTACCCTCCTGGAAAAAATCATAGTTGTGCTAGACTGCGACACTTCAGACCAGGTACTATTAGAGCCGCTAATGGACGACGAGCTATTTTCCGCTATCCGGAGCTCAAGCATTTGAGCCGCTAAATGGACGAGACTCCTGAGGTAAAGGATGCAGAGAATGAGGAGAGAACACTCGTATGGAGCAGGGAGTAGGTAGTGTACTACTTCCTGGTATGGAGCACTGAGAAGCGGTAAGTCTTAGGGCAATTCTTAGCCAGTAATTACTTTCTCGCCATAATTATGTTCTCGTTTTTCGTGTCTTCTGTAATGCCAGTACACTAGCAGTACGACTACACTGTAGGCGAGAGTCCATAAGCCAGAGTGTGCAGCTCTCCATCTATGCAGCATAAACAAATTAATGACAAATTTCCTTTGCCTAAGGGCTGGGTTCCACTGCCGCTCCGCCGCACATCATTCACGGCATGAAACGTCATCATTACGAGCTGGTCCAGCGAGGCCGCGGCTCATCACCAGCTTTCGCTTCGCTGCTTGATACAAAAAAATGCAAGCCGCGGTCACGGCTTGCATTGTTTCCCGCACTTAATTGTTTTATTCGGGGGAATTTTAATTCGTTGCACAGGCCAGAACACGAGGATTTTTTTTGGATTTCACGCGCGCGCAGGCAGGCTAAATGTCATAAAAAAAACGTCGAGCACGATCGCGGTACCGTGAATGGCGAGTGTCACTGGAACCGCGCCGCTCTGCTGCATGCAGCCAAGTACCGTGGAGCAGCGGAGCTGCGGAGCCGCAGTGGAACCCGGCCCTAACCAAACTTATAGCAATTTGAAAATGTTTGACAATTTTTCATAAAAAACTTGACAACATTGTTCTTCTGTAGAGTGCCGCTGGCAACTCCATCGATGAACTCCATCAATGAGCGCAGGGATAAAGTTTAGAAACCCTTCGAGCGAGAACGTGTTTTCAAAAAGGAAGCACAAATATGCCGCGTAACTTCCCCTCTAGTACTGTATGGCCCCATCAAAGCCACTCGCTGACTACTTACCAGTAAAATGGGGTTGGACGGTTGTCAGATTAGCTGACATATTTTCTGCCAACACAACCATAAGCAGTTGTCAACTCTCAAGACTAAAAGAGCTTGCGAAGAAAGTGAGAAACCTTGGCTATGAAAGCACATGAAGCGTCAGAACATAATCGAGCAAACTTGGACCTAGATTACCAGTGTCTGCTCCAGAGCCGGGTCAGTGGCCCTGTTTGTGAGTACTTGGACCTTTTGGAAAAAGAACACTGGGTTACCTGCGACCCGGTCGGAAGTCCTGTCGAGTACTATACTTTTTTATACCGTTCGAGGGTATACCGCCACTGACAGGCTGCATACGAGTGCAGATGCGTGCGGCCAGAGTGCCCAGTGCGAGTACGTTCATACATGTACATGTACAATCATGTACATCAGGAAGTCGAAAGTAAGTTTACGACTCCCTGACACACAGTAGCCGCACTTGAACGCATCTGGCTCTGGCCCAGTGTTGCAGGAATTGTGCCAGGTAGACGTGTACCCGGTTTGTGTTAAATCTTAGAGCAGGTACTGCATACCCTATCATATCTGTGTACATGGGTAGACAGAGTCAGTGTTGTTGCGTCCCACTCAGCACCCTTCTGGTTCATTTCGGCACCAGCACTCTTTGCGTATGCAGAGTTGAGTAGAGTGCAAGTTCGGACCACAAGTACACTGCAGCGGCTAGTAGCAAACCTAACCTGTGCCGTGATGCCCGGCACGTGTGTGCATCTACTTCATCCCTGAGTAACACACCTGGTATATTGTGCACAATAGGGCACAGTAAATAATCAGCATGCATCGCAGTTTTCTGCAACATATTCCTGAAGTCACTTTACACCTCAGAAGAATTGCGTCGCTGACTGGAATTCGATACCGGTTTAGTTTCTCTCTGGGTCATTATCAATCATAGAAAACCCGTCATACAATAGGTTCAAGCTAAAGTACCGTATCACCATGGTAATTACCTGGAAATTCGGTGTGTTTTCTACGTTTTTGTTAAACAAGCAGCAATGTGCAACAGAAATTACCATGGTGATAGAGTAGATGACCGTGTGAAGCGGTGTGAGATGCAGCAAAGGTGAGCCTGTTACTGCGATTCTATGCCCTAAACAATAAACTTTGCCGTGGGATGATTCTCTTTGGGCTGCACACTCTGGTTAATGTACTCTTGGTGGCAGCATTCTGGTGCCAAAGATGATATTTTTTCAGAAAAATAAGCACTAGAGAAATGGAGTGGGAGTAACCAGAATTATTCTATTAGCAGAGCTGCAATACTTGGGATATGAGATTATTCCCGTAGCTATGCAAAAGACGCTATTCAGTTGTACTTTAGTAGCATCTGGCGCTAGCCAGTATCCACACCGCTGTAATTCGGTGCGTGTCACGGTGTCTGGTAGGGTGGTTCACGTGGCATGCCATGGTTGGTGCAGTATCCCGTATGTGTCCCGTACCGTAATTCGAGTATGCGGTGCGCACCGTAGCATAGATGTATCTGGAGCGCTGTACGAGCTAAGATGTCGGGGCAAATATGGGGACATTCACAACATGCAATGTGAATATGCACATCAGTTTCGTTTTAAGAAGTGGGTTTGACGGAGTAAGAAAAGGCCCCAGCTTTGGCTGCTGCATGCTAGCCCAGTGGGTACCAATCTCCTGCCATCGGCCGAGTGCTGATGGAACGGAGTAGAAGAAAAAGAAAGAAGAATATTGCGTTCAAGAATACAATTTCGGTAAGGGATATACAGTAAAACCTGTAACTAAAGACCGCCGTCACTAGCGACCAGCCTGGTACTACCGACCACTTCGCCAGGCACGGAAGGTCTCACATTCAAAATGCACTGTGACTAGCGACTACCTTCTGAACGCGACCAGCGACCGCCTTTTCCTGTCCCAAACACAATTTTTGACCCGTAACTAGCGACCGCGATGTAGGAAATCAAATGTTGCTCGAAGCTCCTTCTTGAAATTTTACTGATTTTCCATGGTCCTGAAAAGAATCTTTCGATACTACAGCTGAACAAATGAATGCAGGTAATTTTGGCTGTGGAGTCGGTGTGGACTGCACTACACCTGTCAAAATTTCAAGCGCTGTCAAGAAAAAACATGATAGGAAACGTCTTGGAGAGCGCATCGAAAGCGCTCTCTGATCGATGTTACTACTCGGAGGAGAAACGAAGACTGGGCGGCTCTGTCACACCAGTCATACAGACGGATTGACGATGGCATCAAGGAATCCAGAAACAAAGCAGCACCACAAGGTCCTGATGCTGAAGGATCGCGTTCAAGCAATCCAGAAGTCACAACAAGGACAGTCGGTATGATTGATCGCATGAACAAATTTGAAGCCCAGCGCGAAACGAAATTTCCCCAGGGAACGTTTGACTCCTGGCTTCAGAAGTAGCAGCTGAATTTGAAGTCTGCAAAAAATTAATCTTCTCTCTCTCTCTCTCTCTCTCTCTCTCCATCTCTCCGTCTTTCTGACATTGCGCAAGTCCTGGGGAATCGTATTAGCTGCATTTTGACATACATATCATATAATGGGATCCACATATGGTCACGCGGTGCAAACCTCTAACTTAAGACCACCTGCTACTAAAGACCGCTTTTGCTGGCACCAAGGGGTGGTCGGTAGTCACAGGTTTTACTGTACCGGTAAGTGGATACCTAACTAAAATAATTAGCCGTATGGTTTAGAAATAGTGGTGGCGACTCTGGATGGCAGTCGTGAGTCCGTCAAGTGTCAAGTCGGCGGAATAGCGCTAGCTCCAGTGTGGGGAGCAAACCCATTCCTAGGTTAGCATCCCCCCACCTCACAACAGAGCAACCGAGTTTTGGATTAAGCTGGGAGTGCCGATTCGAGCAACTGGTATGATGGCTCTGCTTGGAGCCACTAGATGGCTCGCAGCTGAGCCGGCATATGACTGCTTGGAGCCGGCAAATGACTCCGCATGGGGCCACCGAATGACTTCGCATGGAGCCGCCGAATGACTCTGCATGGAGCCGCCGAATGACCCCGCATGGAGCCGCCGAATGACCCCGCATGGAGCCCCAAATTGACTCCGCATGGAGCCGCCAATGACTCCGCATGGAGCCGCCAATGACTCCGCATGGAGCCGCCAATGACTGCATGGAGCCGCCAATGACTCTGAGTAGAGCCTCCAAATGCTAAATATATTGGTATGCATAACCAGTTGAGAGCATATATTCCATAAATCGGCACTCCCGGAGCGGATCACAAAGTGCAGCTACCCGTGCAATCTGTAAGCGGTGCAAGCTAGGTAAAGACTGTCAGAACTTGATATCATGGGCTGAGGCCATTGCCGCAGCCACCCATACTTTGGCTGCAGGTGGCGTCCGAATGTTACTCGGGCAGACATCGCTTTCCACCTTCCCGCCTCTCTGAATATCGAGTCCCGCAGCTGATTCGAAACGAGTGGCCGGTGTACAACGCCAGGCCAAAGCCACAACTGATGAGCAATATCCTCGCAGTTGCTGTAAAT